ACACACACCGGTCACCCAGGCGCATTGGGCCTTGCACTTTGAATGCCGTGGGGCTCCTGTCGTCAGACGGGGAGACGCGAGGGTTGCCCCCCCTTGCCCCACCACCTGGGGTGTGGGGAGAAGTTTACCTTACCTTACCTTATCCCCGGACCCCACTCCATCCCGTCGCGGGTCGCGCAAGGTACAATTGCAATAGCGGGGGGTCGCGCTGCCATGCCGCGACAGCGGAACCCCCCCCCCCCCCTTCCCCCCCCGCCTCTCTTCAAGTCAATCCTCTTGCTCACCGCGCCGCCGCCCGCACCCTCTCCCGCGCCTCGTCCACCTCGAGCGCCGACCTGTTCACAGCGGCAGCCTGTGAAGAGGCGCGGCAAGCCCACGCCCTTCTCGCCGTACCGCCTTACCTCCAAATCTCGCTCCACCTGACCACATCTCGCCGTATCTCCCTCCACCTCGCCGCACCTCGGCCGTATCTCGCCCTACCACGCCGTGTCTCCTCCCCCCAAATCTCGCCCCATCTCGCCCCATCTCGCCCCATCTCGCTCCATCTTGCTGCCGCTCGCCCCATCTCGCCCCAAATCTCGCCCCATCTCGCTCCATCTCGCTGCAGCTCACGAGAGCGACACGACGGCGGTCGCCACTTCCGAGATCGGCATCTCGAGCCGGCGCATGCGGTTGAAGCCTGTTCACAGCCAGGCGTGTGAACAGAGGCACAGTCGGCACAGAACGAGGCGGCTGAAGCCGTTAAGGGAGGGAGAGGGGGGGCGCAGCCATCTCGGCTAACCGCAGCCAATCTCAGCCAATCTCGGACAATCTCGTCTAATCTCGCCGTTGAGGAGGGAGAGGGGCACGTAGCCGTCTCCGTCCATCTGCTGCTGCAGGAAGGCGTCGCGGCCTGTTCACGGCTCAAACTGTGAACACGCCGCCCGACCGCTGTGCTGCCCTGTGGCAGGAGCGGAGAGAGGGAGGCTGCCGAAGTTGGCGGGTGAGAAGTAGTACTCGAGCTGCCGCACCTGCGACGGGTTCAACGAGCGCTTTAGTCAATCAGAAGTGAACAGCACCTGCGCGAATTGAAATGCGTGCTCGAGTGATGATTATGGACTGGCAGTGCTCGAAGCATTGAGTGTCATCTCCAAATCTCGCCAGATCTCGCCAGATCTCGCCCAGATCTCGCCCAGATCTCGCCAGATCTCGCCCAGATCTCGCCCAGATCTCGCCCAGATCTCGCTGCATCTCGCACCGCCGTCTGCCGCTTCGCGCCGCTGCCGTACCGGCCTTGCGCCGCGGCGGGGGAAGAGGCTCCTACGCCGCGAGATTAGAGCCGAGATTACTCGAGACTTACCCCAGGTGCACCCGAGGCGGCGGCAGCGGAGGAGGCGGCGGCGCCGAGAGCGGCGGGGGATGAGGCGACGTTGGCTGCAGCGGCAGCGGAGGGGGCGGAGGAGGAGGAGGAGGCGGCGGCGGAGGAGGAGGAGAAGGGGGGGGCGGCGGTGGCGGCGGCTTCGGATCGACGCCTCTTGCGCCGCTTGCTCTTGCTGCCGCCTCCGCCGTCGGCAGCGCTTCCGTTCACGGCCACACCGCCGTTTGACATCCCGCCTGGAGCAGGAGGGAGGGGGTGGGGGGTGTGGTTGTGTTTGTGTGCGTGTGTGTGTGGTGTGGGGGGGGGGGGAGGTAAGGTCCGGGGCGGCAAGGGGAGGGTTAGGGGA